CTATTTATTCATATATATATATATATGTGTGTGTGTACATACAAGCCAAACAGCACTCATATACCCCGATCGAAATCGCGACTCTTGAGTTTCATGCTATGCAAATAACAAGAACGCGAATAGCGTGAAACACATAGTGTATCTTTTGTATTGATGTCCCAGAGCGCTGTTTTCTTACTTTCATTTCTAGAGACATTGAACACTTTAGGTTTTTGTGTAGAAGGGTGTCTTTGTTTCTTTTTTCTTACTCTTTTGTCATTATTTCTTTGTCTTCCCTATCCTTTTTGTCTTTTCATATTTTTCCATTGATAGGCTTAGTGTTGGTAGAGTCGGTAATAAGCGCTTTATCTTAGCTTATACATACATTTTGCTATTGTTTAGCATGACTTGCCTTGATAAATTCAAATAACGAAACGCTTTGGCAAGGACTAAGTAATCTTTTGCGATTGTCTATTTCAATCAATTTGTTTTCTCTCCAGAGATATTCTGATAACATTAGCGCGTACACACACACACACACACACACACACACATATATATATATATATATATATATATATATATATATATATATATATATATATATTAATGATACCCCCCTGACGAGTGGATGGAGTAAATCCCGGAGGTTCTGTCTACGAATCTGTGGAGTTGGGATGCAGGAGTTAACATCAATCAGGTAAGTGACAAACCTATTACTTTATATTATAACATTTATAATTTCGAATTTCGATTGTATATATATATATGTGTGTGTGTGCGTGTGAGCGCGCGCATGTGTGTGTATAAAACCAACTAAACTATATACATATATATATATATATATATATATTCGTGTGTGAGTGTATGTGTGTGTGTGTGTGAAGTGGATATGAAGAGGGTCCAATGAATAGCGGCTGGAGATGAGATGTTACCTTCACTTATGAGCCAATCCATTTTGGAGAGGTAGTAATCCATCTTCTCTCCCCCACCTGCAATGGGTTAAATATTAGGACTAGTAACTGGAAAAATGATTGCTATTCTCAAAAGAAAATTGATAATTCCATATTCTCCTCGCAAGTAAAAATTATTCTTAAACTCCCAAAAACATGTTTTGGTTCAAAATAACCCACAAAATGTTGATAAGCCGTAAAAAAGAAAGTCAGTCACTATATATATATATATATATATATATATATATATATATATATATATATATATTACATGAATCGTTCATACAAAAGACAGATTAGTGAAGTTAATGATATAAACGGCGAGAATACATCTTTGCAAACAAATTTATTAAAATTACATTAACCCACGAACCTCTAGATAAATGTTATAATCCCTGTTTTTAATAAATTCAACTTGTATAAGGTCTTTTTTTGCAAGTACTTTCATCTGTTCATACAGACATCATCAGACATGGAAATTGATTTATTTTTTTTAAATACATCCAAGTAATAACAGGACACGAAAGATTAGATGTGAATCGAAATGTTTTTTTAGAAATGTGTTATTGTTAACTGTAAGAAATTCTGGAGCGTTCGGTCGCAACGCTAAGGTTGAATTTTTTGAAAATTTAAAAGAGAGTGCGTTTTTTTTACTAATATGGTAATTGGAGAATTCTTTTGTTGTAGCAGTTTTTTTTTTCAATAGATGTGGCATGAGCTAAATTGTTCAATAAATAGAGCAATGTCGCAGCTATTGTCCTAGAAGTTGCACGTCGGATCAGTTCTTTTTAAATCAAATATGTGGTGCAGTTCAATTTATATTACACGAATCATTCATACAAAAACAGATTAGTCATGTTTGTGTGGACATAATTACTAAAGGCGTTCATATGTGGGCTTTGTAGTTTTGTTGAAGTTATATTTTGGAATACAGTTTGATTTTTTAAAAATTGTAGGATATTATATGGGTTAATGTCATGAAAGAATTCTTTCATGTTGGTTATTTGGTGTCATTTTAAACGGATTTGGGTGAAATAATATAATTTATATTTTGTTTGTATGTGCGTATTGTTGGTATTTCTTTATATAAAAATGTATTGCTGGTATTTTTACTATCAAAATGTATTCATATACTTTCATAGTATTTTGGCAGGGGGTCACTATCTATCCATAACTGGGACACTACTAGTTGCTATCACTCCGGGTCAGAGTGGACCTGGAAATAACAGCAATTAAGGTCGTTCCACGCTCCTCAAAACCTCCAATCTCATAATCAGAGGCCTTGCTGCCGGACGTAGTTTATCGTCATACCCAGGACTTGTAGCTTACTTAACACTTTTATGTAAATGGATGGTTGTATTGGTAGGAGAGGAATAAAATAAAATAAAAACTTCCTAAGAGCTACGAAGGAGAGGAAGTTAGGGAGAGCCATGATCAAACACGTCCTGAAGGGACACGGCACATAAAATAAATTTTGCTTCGAGAGTGTCTTTTATTGCTTAGATATTCAACACCGCTTTCATGGCGCTAGTGATGACAACTACGACATTAATTTATATTTGCTAAACTCTTTCTTAAATGGCCAGGAAGGTCTTGGCCTGACATTTTCTTTAATCAATTCGCTGCAATCAAGGCCATAATGCCAATAAAATGGAAGGGGTTAATAGGAGTGAAAGAGAATGAAAGGAACCAGAAAACCAGTTTTAAACAAGAAACAAGAGATAAACATCTGCTCCTGTTCGAAAAACCGGGGCGGACCATGAACCAAACGATAGGCGAACCTATTTACTTCTAAAATTCTCTTTTACCGGTATAGCTGACTTTACAATTCAAAATAATTTCCTGGTTCACTTCAACTAAGTCTAGTCTCCCAGTTGTCGAAGACGCAGATAACTTTACGCGTTTTATTTCCAAGGACAGCTTTATATTGTTGCTGTATTATCACTTTCGGAATGAGATCAACACGCTGCGGCCATTGTTCCGCCAGTATTTTCATCACGTGATCAATTTCTACAGTCAACTGCCGAAGCGGTTGTATTTAATAGGCACTACTGAACATTCTGTCATTGTTTCTAGTGTGAAATACCTATAGGCGGAAAAGGTTTACTTCTCAGAGTTTTCAGTTCTCTTTTTGTTCGTATTGTTTCTTTCTTACATCCTTCGTCCATTTTCAATGATTCATCCTGTCTGATGCTGCCACGTGTGGCGATTAGGTCATTGTAAACGTCCGAGTTCGCTTGTCTCATCAGATTACCATCGTCTTTTCTTTCTACAATTGCCGCCAATGTTAAATAGCAGACCCCAACACCAATCTCATCAATATTCTAGTACATTCCTAAATATACTTTCCTCTAGTTAGTAAAATCAGGTTTTTTTTTATATTTTCTATTATACAAAAGATTTCTTTTATTATCTTTTTATCTCCCTTGGTTTCCGTAACGAAACAAGAATGGATATAATTTCAAATCTTCCACTTGTTTATTTTTTTACAGTAAGGCTCACCATGTACAAGGCCCAGGGGTTACTCGAGATAAAGGGTTACATTAACGGGTAGTTTATATAGCTAGGAGGGAAAGATAATGGATAACTCTAGACTTGAACTGGTTAACATTATAATGATCTGTGAAACATTCTCTTGGGAGTCTGTTCCACAGGGCAGTGGTTCGCAAAAAGAATCTGTTTGAGTGTAACTTATTTCTGGCCGATGGAATACAGAGGTAATATGAGTGGTGTTGTATTATGTAAATGGCATGGGAGGTTCGAGCCATGAAGGTTATACCCGGTGGAACCAATGAATGCAGTTCGTCCGAGCACTTTCCATGGTAGCAGCGATAGAACATTGAGAGGCTCACCCCGTCCCGCCTGTGAGCGAGAGGTTGGAGAATGGAAAATAATCCTTCATCAACAAGGACTTGGAGACGCTTTTGAATTCTATCCAGACTGGAAAATGAGGACCAGGCAGCTCCCGCCCAAATATGACAACAATATTCCATTGTCGGCCTGATCTGGCTTTTATAAAGCTAGAGGATAGCATAAGAAGCCAAGTACTTACTGGAGTGGTAAAGGGAACTGATCATTTTACCTGCATCTTTAGCGATGGATTGTATATAAAAGTTCCACTTGTGGTTGGGTGTAAGTTTTAGGGTTAATATTCTCTTGGGACATGGTGTTTCCTTGAGGAGACATTGGTTCATCGTGACTGGCGTTAGTTCGAGGTCTACCATGAATATAGTAATATTTATAAATGTGTACATCGGTAAAGTTTACCTGAAAGAAATCAGTTATTAACGAATAAGAGCTGTATTTGAATTTATTATTATTTCGTTTCTTATTTAACCAATAAGAAAGTAATATAAAAAATTGATAAACATTGAAATATGTCTCTTCTTTAACACATTTAGCGAGAAATCACAATAGTTAGCAATTTAATAGAAGATAGCTTCTTCTATCGTTTTATTCACACACCTACCCCTGTCTTTTGAACAGGAGTAGAAGTTTATCCTTTAATTCCTCTTTAGGGTTAGGATTCTGATTTCTTAAGTCTTCTGGTTCGTTTTTTACTCCCACTAAATCATTGTGTCTTAATAGTATTATCGCTTTGCTTGGAGTGAAATGAATAAAAAATATCCCTCTTTTGAAAATGTTCAACTTGTCTTCATGTTGTCCTTCACCTGTGTCTCCAATGCTGTTTTCCACTGTTGCTATTTACTCTCTTTGTTCGATTGTTGGACTGACAGTATAAAAGAATATCGTTGAAGGTGTTATAATAATTCCTGGTAAGTTTTTCATGATCATTATTTTTGTTTTTAAATTATCTACTCATCATCTTCATCATCAAATCATAATAATAATAATAATAATAATAATAATAATAATAACAATTATTATTATTATTATTATTATTTGCACGACTTTTCAAGGAGGGGGCTTGACTCGTCCTGAATCAAGTCGGGTTTGCTGTTTGAACCGATATGATGCAAAACCCGAAATGGATGAGGACTCTTGATGTATCTAAAATGTATTATACAATTATTATTGTGCTTGTCAAAGAAAAGACATTACTTGGTTTCAGTGAGAAAACGAAAGAAAGAAAGAAAGAAAAAAGAAAGAAAGAAAGAAAGAAAGAAAGAAAGAATGGAAAATGAAGGAAAGGAAAAAAGAAAGGAAAAAGAAAGAAAGAAAGAAAGAATGGAAAATGAAGGAAAGGAAAAAAGAAAGGAAAAAGAAAGAAAGAAAGAAAGAAAGAAAGAATGGAAAAAGAAAGAAAGAAAGAATGGAAAAAGAAAGAAAGAAAGAATGGAAAACGAAAGAAAGAAAGAAAAAGAAACAAAGCAAAAAAGAAACAAAGCAAAAAAGAAAGAAGTGTTTAACGTCTGTTTCAGTGAAATGGAAAAAAATGTCATAATCAAACCTTTTCATTTGTTCGCACTTCTTAAAATAACGACCGGCATTCATATTTATGATTAATATTGTAATAATTTTTTAAAGTTGTTAAGCTCAAATATTTAACGATGCGATAGGAGAATTTCTGTGGATATTTTATTGTATTAGAATTCACCTTAAGCTTATTCAATCATTATTTTAAAAATTAAAGGTTCTTTAGAATATAAACATAGGAAAACCGTGAAAAATTTCACGGGCGAAAACTAGTTATTATTAATATTTTTAATATTATTATATTTATCCTTCGCACGCTTTTACGTTGCAAGCAGTGTACTTGCATAACAGGTGTTTATCTATCAAGTACATCCTCAGAGAGAAAGAGAATACCTTTCAGCAAATATTTGCTGTTACAAGCAACGTAGACTTCTGAAGCAATGGAATACTAGGCTGTATTCCGATTTTCTCTTTGTAGGACTTTAATGCCACAGTGATTAGTAGCCTGATATTAGCCTGAATGTCATACATTTTGACAACTTCAGTTTGAAGATCGGATTTTTTATTATTAATTGTGTGTTATGTTTCCTGCTTTGCATTCTGTAGAGCCGGGTCAAAACTATGGTCCTTAGGCACTATAGGATAATTGTCATTTAATTGATAGCATCATCATATTTTCCGCACATCCTGCATTTCGGGTTAGTTTCATCCTTGATTAAGTGACAGCGATAGAATCTGGTTGCGAGGTTTTGGTCCTAAGCTGCAATAATTAGCCCTTCTCTCTCAGTTTTAACCTCGGTGCTCATTCCCTACTGATGTGTTTTCTGTTGGTCCATATCTACTTCTTTTTCTTCTTCGTCTTCTTATTATTATTATTATTATTATTATTATTATTATTATGATTTTCTTTGATTTCTGGCGTTTACACATTTCTTCCGGGTCCCGCCCAGGGACCTAAGGTTATTATTATTATTATTATTATTATTATTATTATTATTATTATTATTATTATTTCATTTGGTTTCTGGTGTATACTCATTTCTTTCCGGGCCCCGACAAGAACCCTAAGGTCAGAAATGACATCATGACATTTTCCACTGAGCAGTTTTGTAAAAAAAAATCGCTCAAATTTTACATAAAGCCCTTGGTAACGTGTGGGCTGTACTTGTGAGTAAGATTTTTTGTATTTCTTTACGGCATGAGCTACCAGGGATTCCTTCACCCGAGACTATTGGAATCTTTTACAATCAATACGAGAGCCCCAAATGCAACTGGAATAGTTAATGTCCCCATGCCCCACATTTTTTTAGATTTCGATTTCAAGGTCCTTTTATTATTATTACTATTATTATTATTATTATTATTATTATTATTATTATTAAGTTTTTATATAAGTAAGTAACCTTCGTAAGAGATCAAGTCTTTTTAATTGTTTCAACCCAAGCAAGGTCATAAAGACACTAAGATGTAGGGGGGGGTTACTGAGAGTGAGGTAAACCGAGAAAACGTTATACATCTGAACATCACAGAAGCACCAAACAAGATGTGGCAAGTCTATTCAATCAATATACTTAATCATACCTGATGATAAAAAAAGACATCAATTTTACATAACAAATATTATTTGTCAACATAAATTCCTGTCTTGGAAATTCGCTTAAACCAGCGCTTCCCCATAAATCACATTTTCCGAACAATATGCAATAAGAATTTCAGATCAAAATTCTCTGAATAATTATCAGGCAACGAAATTATTGATCCACCCTCACACGGATTCACTTGTCTGTGTACGGTTGAAATTAAATGAGGGTTTATTTTCATAGCTGCATATTGCTCCGTTACAAACATTTACGAAGTTCAGCTGAAAAGAGGAGTAAGAAGAATGTGCTGCGTCAAAGTATGAAGTTTACTTCGACTTGAGCTCTCATCTCTAGCCACCGTAGAAATGTGCAACTCTCCCCCAATCACAAGCAACTCCATATAAGTATTAGCACATTTTGTAACTACAGGATTATAATGTCAAACACGAGTATAGGAAGACTGTTTTGCGCCAATTATCCAAATGGTTAGATCCTGAAAAGTGGGAAATCCTGATGTGTTCAAATAATGAGCACTTGCTTGCGAGAAAGTCGCAACCATTTCCACCATGACATAAACCCAGATAGAATAAAAGAGAAAGTCTTTCAGAAGA